TTTTCGTTCGCCTTTCCCTTGTTCCTGTCCGTCCGAATCAACACTCCACTCCGGCTCGGCCGTGTTACCTACGTCCACACAGCCCGCCCGCGCTTATCCCCAATGATCATCGATATGCATCCACGCTTGCTCACAACACCAGCACGACTCCACTGGCCTGAATGGCCGTCCGCGGGATACTCCTCGCCCTCCTCCTCGCCATGGTTCTCCCGCGCGCCATCCTCGCCGCCTTCGCTCCGGCCTTTCAATATTTCCTCGCATGCGGCGCCAACTCCTCCGTCTCCTTCCCGTCCGATTCCCCCGCCAACATCTTCGTCCCCGACGCCGCCTACCTCTCGCCCGCGGGCGCTCCGGCGGTGTCGGCCAGCTCTACCCTGGCCTCCCCGCCAGCTCTGTACGCCGCCGCGCGCGCGGACATCTCGGCCTTCTCGTACCGCCTCCCTAGCCCCGCCTCGCCAGACGCGTCGTCATTCCTCGTCCTGCGCCTCCACTTCTTCCCCTTCTTCCCAGCCACCTCCTCTCAGTATGTCATCAACATCTTGTCCGCGCGCTTCAACGTTTCGGTCGCCGACGCCTACGCTCTGCTGTCCTCCTTCTCGCCTCCGGCCGCCGGCGTCGTCAACGAGTTCTTCGTCCCGCGCGACCTGTTCGGTGACCACTTCCACGTCACGTTCACCCCGGACGCCGGCTCCACCGCCTTCGTCAACGCCATCGAGCTGTTCCAGCGTTTTGATTTTCGGCCGAAAAAACTAAATTTCGGCCGAATTTCGGCCATCTCGCCTGGGCCCGGTATATGGGCCTTTCGTCCGAATTATTTGGCCCAGTTTGAATTTATTTGCCCGGCCCAGCTTCTAGGGCCTTCATGTTACGCTTCTGCTCATATAAAAGCACGAACGCAAATGTCCCAACCCTAGAATCGCTGTTTTTCCTCTCGCTCCTCCTGTGGGCCGCGCCGCCGCTGCGCACAGAACACATCCTCGCCAGCGTAGCTTCTCCGGCGTCCGGCCAACGCGCTCACTAGCCTCCCGCCTTCCTCCACATCTCCTCGCCTCCACCCCATCCAGTTCGTGCCATTCGCTGCTCCAAGACAAGGGCATGGCGCTCGGCGGCTGCGGCAACGAAGCTGATGGTGCACGAGCCAACCATGAAGGCAGTAGCACGGGGCAGCGACAGCAGCATGGAGGGCGTCCTCTTGTTTGGGAAGGTACAAGCTTTCTTGATGCGTATACATCTCAATCAAGTACGTAGATGCAGTTTCAGTTTCAGTACGTAGATGCAGTTTCAGTACTTGTGCTTCTTTAGATGAATGAGAGGCTGCAATATCATACAGGGGTAAGAAAAACTCAGTCTTGATGATTTGAACAGAGTAGTGGCATCATTAATCTGAAATACACATGCATCTTGTAGTCACCAAGGATTCTGACAATGTTTTGACTTGGTATATAATCTGAAACGTACATGCATTTGGTAGTCAGAAAGGTTGCCCACGATCTGGTAATAGAAAAGTGGTTACAACCAGTGGCTTGTGCACAAAATTAAAGCTTTTATTATCACATCCAACCACTGGCTTGTGTATTTGCAGAAGCATCCCATGTTTGAATCGATCATTTATTTAGATCTACAACACGTCCAATATAAACTTCAGTTGTGTTTGTGTATTTAACTAAGTAGTTGTTGACCACTGATTAATTTCAATGTCCAGCGGTACTAGAGCATCAGCTTGTATATAAATTATTTATTCCTTAGTATCTAAACTAGATAATCTGTCTGTACTGTTTTTGTTCCTCATTCATATCAGGACACCCTAGTAAGAAAGGTTTGCTTTCTTAGCTGTCTACTCTTTATAACTGACCATCGTTCTTTTGTCATGTGATTTTCAGGTAATGGAACTGCAAATAGGAGTGGCAGCGGCGACCAGGATGCAAATGGAAGTGGTTCCCAAAGACCTTGGAAAGGTATTACTATGCTTTGCTTGGTCACACGATGCTATTGGAACCATGATCTTTATTTGCTAGGTTCAATTAAACTGATGTTTGTAACCTTGCAATGCAGGACTTAAAGACAATAACTTATATGATCCTTGAAACCATGCATGGCCGTATTATGGGGGTTTTGATTGCACGTACTGCAGCCTAAAGCACAAAGGTGGAGGTGCAACCCGTGTCGCGGAGCACCTTGGTGGTATTGTAGGTAATGTGAGGAGCTGCCCCAATGTGCCAAGAAATGTGAGAGATGCAATGAGAGAGTGCCGGGATGAATCAAGGAGGAAGAAAAGAGACAAACAAAATAGCAGGCTGAGAATTGAAAGAAATATTATGGAAGGGTTGTATAAAAAGGAGGGGTGGTTAACGTACCAGATGATGATGAAGAAGAAATTCAGATGAATATTAGAGAAGCATTGCGTGACCCGAATGTCTCTCGCAGAATTGAAAGGAGAATTGGCAAGGGGGGTGTGGGTGATGTGCATGTTTCTGTTGGTAAAAGGAGTATCAGCGCCTATTTTGACAGGCAATTATCTAGCAACAAAGTATCTATGCAGCCCAAGATCAGTAGTGCTTTGGATCCTAATTCAAGAGATGCACTTGGTCTAGCTTGGTCCAAGTTTTTTCATGCCAATGATATTGCTGGACGTAAAGCTGATTGCCCATACTTTCGAGCTGCTGTGAAGATCACTCAACAATTAGGGCCTATTCCTATACCAATCGCGAAGGAGATTGATGGGCCATATTTGGAGGCCAACTATGATGAAGCTAATTCGTTTCTTCAAAAATTCAAACAAGACTGGAAGAACTTTGGTGTGACTCTTATGTGCGATTCTTGGACTGGTCCTACAGGAATGAGCATCATAAACTTCATGGTGTATTGTAATGCACGAATGTTCTTCCTCAATACCATTGATGCATCCGGACAAACTCAGAATTCAGGTTACTTCTTCCTTCTCTTCTTAGCACTTTACTTGCTTCTTGAATAATTGGATCTGTCCTACAATTGTCTTATGTTCTTAAAATATTTGCTTTGTTCTAATTAGGTATGTACATATGTTATTACAATATTGTTCTTGAATACTTGGATCTGTCCTATAGTTGTTTTATGTTCTCAATGCCTTGTTCTCATTAGGTATATATGCATTTTACGTATGTTATTACAATATTGTTCTTGAATACTTGGATCTGTCCTATAGTTGTTTTATGTTCTTAATGGCTTGTTCTCATTAGGAATATATGCATTTTACGTAATTTTGCAGACTTTATCTATAGAGAGATTGAAAAGGTTGTCGAAGAGATAGGGCATGAGCATATAGTTCAAATAGTAACCGATAATGGATCCAATTATAAGAAAGCTTGCAAAACCCTTATAGAAGAACCAAAATACTCTCATATTGTTTGGCAACCGTGTGCGGCCCATACCGTCAATCTTATGCTAAAAGATATAGCAAAATTTCCTGAGGTTGATGTGATAGTCAAGAGTGCCAAGACAATCTGTAGGTTCATGCATAAGCACAATAACCTCCATGATAACATGAAGAAGAACATAGGTGGTGAACTAATTAGACCAAATGCCACCCGTTTTGGGACTGTCTTCATGTTCCTTGAGAGTTACCATTCAAAGAAAGATAAATTTAGGGAGTGGATGGTTTCAAAGGATTGGAAGGAGTGTCAGTGGAGGTATGAGCCTGGGTATGTGTTTGCTGAAGAGTGAGGATGATGAAGAAGAGAATGAATATGTTGATAATGACATCGAGGATGATGATGGGGTGAGTGAGGATGATGAGGATGGTGAACAAGATCAGCTAGAGACACAAATGCAACTTGAAGAAGAGACACAAGTACAAGTTCAAAAGGAGGCACCAACAAGCACTGGCCATTTGGAGACTAGATTTGGACGACTTATTAGGAAGAAGACCAAGAACGTCAACAGCCTCTACTCGTAAATTTGGTAAGTCTCTTCTTTTTGGTGTTTCTGATTCAGGTTTGTTACTTAGAAAAATCTAGCTTGATGTATATGTTCAAAGCGGCTGATCTTTAAATAGCTTGATGTATATTGCTTTCTTTAAGTAGGTTGATCTTTAATTGTTCTCGTGCTCTAATGTTTATGCTCACTGTGTATGATTAGTACTGCCGTTCTAATTGCTCACCTAGTAGTGTTGCTGTAATTGATACTTATCTTCTTGTATTGTTGCTATAATTGCTACTTATCACATACCAGTGATGTTCTAGTTGCTACCAATCACTTAGTAGTGTTGTTCTAATTGCTACTTAACACAGTATTTTAGTTGCTACTTGGAACTGCTAGTTACTTAGATGTATGCACTCTGTATCATGACCCTTCCTCTGTTTTCTCCAAACCAGAAATGGCACGTGAGCAAAGGATATCAAGAAGCTTTTGGATGTTGGGAAGCTTGGAGCTGATGCTTCAAATAAGCTGATGGTTGTCTTTTGGAGATGTTTCTATGTTTAATGCTTTAAAGTCTTTTGGCTGTACTGGACTATTTAAACTTTGAACTATGCTGTGATGGTTGAACTGATGCTGGACGGTTAAGGGTTTATGTCAGAGGCAACTTTATAACTAATGTGTGCCTGTTATGTTGGACTGTTAAGGGTTATGTTGGAGGCAATTTTATAACTAATGTGTGTCTGCTATGTTGGATTGTTAACTGTTATGTTGGAGGCAACATTATAGCTAACGTGTGCCTGTTATGTTGGGCAGATTCAATTTTCTTAATCCCTAGAGCTTATTTGCTAAAGTTTATAAGATCTCTCCTGATGGTTGTTGTGCTGATATGTTTTGCTCTATTTTATTTAAAGTTTTGTTCAAATTTCGCCGAATTTCGGCCAAATTTCGGTTAAATTTTGGCCAAATTTTCAAATTTTGATTTTGCAATTTCGTCCGAGATTTTGCCGATTTTTTTGAAATTTCCGAAATTCGGCCATTTCGGCCAAGGACGAAAAAAAACACAAACCGAAAATCATTTCACTGAGCTGTTCTCGGCCCCGCCGGAGATGCTGTGGAATAGCTCCGTGACGCCCGTGGGAGCCGTGGTGAAGGACGACATGGACCTGTGGCAGCGGCAGCCGCTGGAGACGGTCTATCGCCTCAACGTCGGAGGGCCCAAGATGACCATTGAGAACGACACGCTGTGGCGGACGTGGCTGCCCGACGGTCCCTACCTCTACGACGCCTCCGGGCTGTCGGTGGTGAGCAACACCTCCAACCCGATCATCTACGATTCATCGAACGGATACACGAGGGAGGTGGCGCCAGATGTCGTGTACCAGACCCAGCGCATGGCGAACGTGACGGACTTACTGGCGGCGACAACCCCGGGCCAGAACTTCAACCTCACGTGGACGTTCCCGGCGGTGAAGGGGTCCCGCTACCTCGTCCGCCTCCACTTCTGCGACTACGAGGTGGTCAGCTCCGTCGTCGGCGTTGGCATCGTCTTCAACGTCTACATCGCGCAGACCATTGGCACTCCAGACCTCACGCCGAATGCTCGGGCGACTCAGTCGAACGAGGTCTTTTACATGGACTACGCGGCCAGGGCGCCGAGCACCGGGAACCTCACGGTGAGCATCGGCTGGTCGTCGAAAAGCAGCGGAGGTGGGATACTGAACGGGCTAGAGATTATGAGGCTGCCGCCCGTTGATTTGAGCTCGAGGAGGTACGGCAGGACGAAGAGGACCATTGTCATTACGGTGTCGGCAGTGCTCGGCGCCGCCGTTCTTGCTTGCGTGGTGCTCTGCTTTTTCGGCGTGCCGTATACGAAGTACAGCGGCTCCGGCTGGGCTGAGCAGTTCACGAACCGATGGTCCAGAGAGGGCAAGACCAGCGGGTTGCAGAGTGTGAGCACGAAGCTGCACATCGCTCTCGCGAAGATCAAGGCCGCCACGGACAACTTCCACGAGCGCAACCTCATCGGCGTGGGCGGGTTCGGGAACGTGTACAAGGGCGTGCTCGTTGACGGCACGCCAGTGGCGGTGATGCGCGCCATGCGCGCCTCGCAGCAGGGGTTGCCGGAGTTCCAGACGGAGATCGTGGTGCTGTCCGGCATCCGGCACCGGCACCTGGTGTCGCTCATTGGGTACTGCAACGAGCAGGCGGAGATGATACTGGTGTACGAATACATGGAGAAAGGCACGCTGCGGAGCCACCTGTACGGTTCCGACGAGCCGGCGTTGTCATGGAAGCAGAGGCTGGAGATCTGCATCGGCGCGGCGAGGGCCCTGCACTACCTGCACAGAGGCTACGCGGAGAACATCATCCACCGTGACGTCAAGTCGACCAACATCCTCCTCGGGAGCGACGGCGGCAGCACCGGTGGCGTGATCGCCAAGGTGGCCGACTTCGGGCTGTCGCGCATCGGGCCGTCGTTGGGGGAGACGCACGTGAGCACGGCGGTGAAGGGCAGCTTCGGGTACCTGGACCCGGGGTACTTCAAGACGCAGCAGCTGACGGACCGGTCGGACGTCTACTCCTTCGGCGTGGTGCTGTTGGAGGTGCTCTGCGCGCGACCTGTGATCGACCAGAGCCTGGACCACGGCCGGATCAACATCGCCGAATGGGCCGTGAGGATGCGCAGGGAAGGGCGGCTCGACAAGATGGCCGACCCGAGGATCGCCGGCGAGGTGGACGAGGAGTCGCTGCTCAAGTTCGCAGAGACCGCTGAGAAGTGCCTGGCGGAGTGCTGGGTGGACCGGCCGTCCATGGGCGACGTGCTGTGGAACCTGGAGTATTGCCTACAGCTGCAGGAGACCAATATCACCGGGGACGGACTCGACGACATGGTACCGTCGTCGACGAGCTTGTTGATGGACGAGACCGACTTGAGCATGACCAATGTCGCCGACAGCAAGGTATTCTCCCAGCTGAGCGCCCGCGGCGAGGGACGATGATCTGAAGTTGGTGCACCAATTGAACATTTTCCTTTGGTGGTCCCTGAATCATCTGAACCCCACATGGATGGATGTTGCACAATACTCTGCAGTTTTTTTTAGTCAATTATCACATGTGTCTGAACTTAGCGAGAAAACCAGTTTGATGCTAAAACTTGCGACATACATTAAACCGATGACAAAACTTGGCTTGGGCGTTCATCTACGGTGCTAATCGCGTTTGTATACACATAGAGTGATGACGAGGCTCGCCAACATGGCGTGGGACGGGCAATGCTAGACCTACGTAAGGTTGGCTACGGGTTTTACGTAAATGAAAACGTGGACAGTTAAGATTGAAAGATTAAGGGG